TAGCTTATCTGGGCCTCCTGGCTCCCAAAGTACAGCACACAAAACAAGAAACAAAATGATTTTCCGATCCGCCTGTTCTTAGATATGTAAGAGAAAACACTTCTTTAAAGAAGAGCCAACCTCAGGGAAAGGGTCTTGTGGCGCCTATGTATAATAAATAATAAGTCATCATCACAGTCTCACATTTCCTTCTTCCTAGGAAAATCAAGAAATCTTCTAATAGACAGTCAGAGATCTTTGTCTGGAGATCACAAATAAAACTGGGTATAGGTGTGGGAGATTAAAACAAAAAGATGTACGGCTAGATTCCTTTTTAAACTAAGATACTTTTGCCACTCTTTGGCTGAGAACATGTTTTATGCCTGCTGATGGCCCCCGATATACTAGACGGAGCAGCTGGGTGAGACATTAGAGTAGACAAGAAAACCTGTCATCTCAAACGTACTTACTTATTCCTTTTCATTATGGTGGTCTGACCATTGCAGAGCCTCCATGAGAACATGCAAATGGCCAGACTGGTTCAGACCAAGGGTCTGCCCTGCCAACACTCTGCCTCCAACGATGGCTCTAGGAGTCACAGCCCAAACTGAGAGCAAGTGTGTATGATACTTCCCCCCATGGCCTACCCCCATGTCTCTACCTCCAGCTATTTTCAGCTGGAAGGAGCTGCTGATCCATTTATGGTTTGTCTATCTAATGACCTCCTTAGGTCTCCAGTCTGCTATGTTAACTTCTTGCATCCACAACGCTGATTGGCACAGAATGCCGCCCGCATTCTCCATTGCATGGAGAATATTCGTACTACGTAGTCTCACTCCAGCAGACAGCATTTAAAAGAATAGCAACTTTTTTAGTATCAGCAGATACAGATCATGTTTCTCAAGGCATTTGTTCCTATTTATATGAGAAAAGCAATGACATGCTTCTCATATGCTGGTATAGGAACCTCTTTCAAGACTATTTTGGAGACATTCACTTGAATGTTGAATGGCTTTAAAAACTCAGTGCCCTTCTGAACAAATGTTCCTTCCTGTTAAGCTTCTAAAAACTGATTCATACCCTTTAAGCGGTTGCCACTTTTTTTTTCAGAAAATGCACTTGCATGAGCTAAAGTGGCCAAGTTTGATATACCATTCAATTATCCTGGAAAGGGCCTTGTTTTCTCTGTCCATAGAGGCAAAACCTACAACAGTATTAACATTTGCAGTTCCAGTCTCCACAAATGCATTATCCTGTGAGAACCCCAGAGAAAATGTCCCCTACAAAACAAAAGAACATTTACCAGATTAATACATATAGCTTTTTAATTTTTATAAACTGTACAGATAACTGCCACAAATCTCAGGTGTTTTTACCATCTCGATGATTAAATCATCTCTGTAAGTAGCAGCAAAAATTTTATAACCTCTCAGGGCCTGCATCATTAAGTACTGAAAATAACTTGAAGTGCTGTGCAAAGCAAATGGTGTAGTTGTAAACTCGTGCAGACTTTGAGGAACTTGAAGCCTTTTTTAAGGCAATAGTCAGTCATATTTCATATTTTAAAAAAGCCAAATCTTTATTTTATTTTTTTTTTTATCATTGGGTGTTCTAGTCATTCTGGTATCGACATCTCCGGCTCTCTGCTATCATCGCTGCACCTGCATACACCTCTACGCACCCCACATATGCCGGTGGCCTAGATCAACTCTTCCAGAATCAGTCTATCTCTACCACCTTTCTCCACAACAGGCTGAAAACTAATTCACGGTCCGTGAATAACAAGTTTCTCAACAGCAGCTTTTCAATACAGAGCTTGCAATCTGTCTCCCGCTCACTTTGTCAAATTATGGTCCACATATCAGCCATTTGCAGCAGTGATATATCTGTCAAGCGTCAAGTACATTTCTTGCAAAGGAAAGTCTTTTTTAGGATTTTTTAACTTTCAAAATGTCTAATCCCAAACATGCAAAATAATGAGTCAGACGTCAAAAAATCATGAGATTTTTTTTTAAAAAAAAATATGTTAATTTCTTTTCCTTTGGTTTCTGGAGCTTTTTCTGGGTCATGTTTTCAAGCTTTTCTCCAAGGCCATAAGGGTTTCAAACATTATTAAAAAGAAAGCAACTGAGATCCTTTTGTAATTGCATGTTTAAGGAAAACATTTATTGCCATCAGACTTAAATTGTGTTGAACTGACAACCAAGAATCTTCAGAGATATTTTTGATCAAATAATCCTGAAAAAGGATTATTGCTTCAAACCTGTTTTCTCTAGAGTTTTGTTTACATTACTTATGTATATTTTCCAGATAATTAAGCTTTACTGAAAGCAGGTTTTTAGACAAGAAGGAAAGCCATGACTTAACACTTTGTTGAAGGACTCTTAACAGTATCAAAATATCTGAGGTACGGGTTATAGATCCTCACACAAACGGTGATTTCTTCACCTGAAATTTGGGATTTGCTCCCCCTTAATACTGATTCCCCCCTTCAAACCTTTACTCTGGATTTTTTTTTTTTTCCCAGTGATGGGAAGCCAGTTTTGTGTGACAATGTGTATTACAGATCTTCTTAAAAGTTCTTCGGATTCCAACTGTTTTGTGATGGAAATGTTCATGAGTATTTGATAAACACAACCATTCCTGTTAACTGCCATCATCTCATCTTATTTGTGTGGCACTCACTAATTTGTTTTTATTTAAATAGGAAAAGGCATTCCTTTCTTTTCATAATACAGGTCCTCTGTAGGGCATTATCTGGGCTCAGTATAGTGTCCTTCCTGTATCCTTTCTCTTCCATCCTTTCTGTCCTGATTAAGACTACCAGAGACTCGGCAGGAAACCCAGTGGGATCACTCATGGTGTCTTGAAGTCACCCTTTCTTTCACTGTTTTTGCCCGTTAAACCTTGTTTTGCTCGTCAATCCCTCTCCCGCATCCCATCGGATTCCCAACTTTCCATTGTCAGCACCCTGGTCTGCAGCTAATTGTGCTCCTCTTCGTTTTCCCTACCCCATTCCCTTTCCCCTTCCTTCCTCGCCTCTCAGTTTGCCCATCTCCTCAAATTTCCCTCCTCCATCCTGCTGTGAAGAAGGCTGTGCCTGGTGTCAGGGCTGCCCACAGCACGCCCAGGCCCAAGCACTTCCATGGGTGGTTCTTTTTACTTTTCACTGGTTTCCTGGTTTCTGAGGCGTGCACGTGGATCAGGGTTTATTCCTGCCATGACATACTCCAGGCGATGGCTTCCACTCTGTTGGGACAGAAGACGAAGGGCTCTCCTAACCCACTGGGCCCTGCTTGCCAGCTCCACCCTGGTCAACCTTACAGGTCTGCCAGGGGAGCACGATGCCTTTGCGAAATGGCTGTGGAGATGGGCCGGGGGGCGGTGGAGGTGCGCCGGGGGCCGGTGGAGGTGGGCCGAGG